AATATATACAGAGTATCTTAAAAATTGCATCACTGAGATAAGTATAACAAAGTAAGTACAATTTATTCGAAACTTTTAAAGGAGAATTGGAGAGAGGAGGAAGAAAGTGCCCGTAGGTACTTATTTTCGAGTTGCCAAGTTTCCTTGTGTGAAAACACTGAATGCGCTTTTTCCAATCAGGAAGCACAATTACATCGAAAGTATCTTATAGTCCTGCCTACGTGACCGAAGTGAGTGCTGCAATCATCATGGCGCTATCGATTTTTCAAGCTCGAGTGCTTTCAAAGCTACCCTGAGTCTCGCTAAATATTTAATCGCGTTAAGCTTTGTTCCAAACTATTGGCAGAATCCTTACGTTGGAAAAAAATCCGATACTCGTTCGACGAGCACAAACACGGAATCAACTGAGGATTTTGAAATAAAGATAAAAAAAGAATTAAAAAATTGATAAATAAGGGAATAATGGATGCTATAAACCCTTTTTAAAACACAGTAAAGGGAATGAAGGGAAATACGATTTAATTAAAAAATAACAGTTTATAATTTACAAATTTTTTTCATACATTTTGGTAACAAATAAAAAAAAGACGAAGTTAAATTACTTTAAAATCAATGATTTTAGAAATGTATTTATCTTTCTTCGTTAAAAAGTTGAAATAATTAGATTAAAAGATAAGTTTGACCGTCTTGCCCACGTGCATTGATAATCCTAGTTACACAAATCTTATTTAGAAATTAAACTCGCGATGTTATTTAATTTTCTTGAAACTTGATTGAAATATGAGTAATGTTCTATTCTTGAAATTTTTATATTTTTATTCTTTAATCTTTCTTGATATTGTTACGTTTTGTGACTTAAAATATGATTGTCAGTTTTTGGTTAAGCTATAAGGTCTTTCTAAATTGTTTTTCTTATATTTCAGAAGTTTGTTTTGGCATGAAGTCACTTTGTTGGTCATCGTTATTCGATATTTTGATATTTATACTGATAAAATAATTAAAAAACGCATTTGAACGGTATTACCCTATTAAATATTTGTGGCAAGAAATTAGCAAGAGATTGAAATATTACGAAATAATTTCATTAGTTTTATTAAAGAACGAATTTTATGAAATTCTATCAGAACTATAATTAAAAAGTAAGTGCGTAATTCAAGCCAAAGAAAGTCTAACTAAATGTTAAATATAAAATAAGGTGCGCATAATTAATGCCATTCGAATATTTTTATGACCCTGTTTTAATACATCTTTCCAATGAATATTTTACAGTTTCAAAGTCAGTTTTACAGTCACCAAAATATTCGTACCCCCACTATAAATTTTAAACAATTGATATTTGCTTGTAATTTAATTTTTTGAAATTCTTATATACATGGATACATACTTCAGAATTATTAAATTTTTAAATCACTATTTATTCTATTGTGTGTGCAATAGAGCATTTTATTATAAGGAAAGTATAAATTTACGTAAACGATAAGAAAATTGGTCTCATAAGAGTGTACCTAATAGTTTCAAAGGAATTATAAAATTAAAATAAAGAAAAATCAAGTGCTACTCTTATAAAAATATTTATTATATTTTTACTATATCTTGTTCTAACTACGAACATTATTCTTTTAATTTTACATTTATTTCTTTCGTATGAAAATGGAAAATTTAATCTTATGATCGACGTGTAATAAATTTATTTATCGTCTATTTCTTCTTCATAAAAAAGACAAGAAACTAAAAATAGAATAAACAAGATTTGCGCTAGACGATAAGAGTGATTCGTGAAACGATCGTTAATACTTTCAAATAAAGGTAGATTGATAAAAAGAGAGAGAGAGAAAAAAAAATCCTTGATTATAATATCGAAAAAAGATGATGGTCTTGTTAGAATGAATTGGGTTTGGAACAATTTATCTAATAATATTTATCAAACGATATCATTAAAGAATAATCGATCCATTTATATAATTAATTGATATTTAAATAATTAATACATCTCAAATCAATAAATTCAGCTTACAATATTGTAAGATCACTGATCAAGATGATTAAAATAGACATTTTACCGATTTATTATAAGTAAAAATTTTTAACAATTTATAATTTTAATATACTTATATCTATACACACTAAAGGATGATCGCTATTTAAATTTTGTGAGAAATTTAAATAAGTACACTCCTAAATTTAGCACGAAATAAATAAAGAAAATATAATTGTTTAATTTCAGATTTTATTAGTAATACTAGTTTTGATCCATATCAGTTTCGATGTAAAATCGATAAGAAACCAAAAATAATAAAATTATAGAACTGACATGAAACTGATATAATATAATACTGTGATTTGTAAATAACTGATATTATAATACTGTACTGTAATATTACATTATAATATTAATAGATAGAAACCAATATGGAAACGAATTTATTTTTCGAAACCAATTATAACATTTTTTCGGCTCCCATACCTTTTTCCAAACTCAAGTTTGTTATTTTAGTTTTTAACTCTTATTTGAAATATTTGTACATATCATTAATTAAAATACACATAGAAAACCACAAAAATATAATTATTTTACAAATTTCGCATGTTTAAATATTCAGGGTATTATGTTTGCTTTATAATATTCTTATAATTAGGTTAACAGAACAATATTTAATAGCAAAATATATGGTTCACGAAACATCTATTCTATAAAGAAACATACTATTCATAATTATACTTTATTAATATTAGGCAGTTAACCTAATTCCTGCCGTTTTTATATGTGACAGCCACTTCTGTTCCTTATTTTTATATAACAGTTTATTTAAAATCTTATTGAGATGGATTACTGAAAATATTACGTCAAATTAAATACTGTCACCTACAATAGATGATGTAAAAGTGCGAAATATAAATTTTGCGTGAGATAGACAGCACAAATACATTAGCATACCTTAATTACATATTTAATGAGTTTTACTTGAAAGCTTCATTTATAATAGGTTAATTAGGCAAAGACAAAAATAATGTACAGAAAATGCCTGTACCTTAAAATTGTATATGTTAGTATAACTGTAAAAGCAGGGAGAATACCATGAACGACAATTGGTCATCCTTTGTTTTTACTGCTATTTAAATGTTTTTTAATATTAGATTCAATTTAATACTCCTTAAAGTAAGAATAATACAAGGAACGTATCTATTAATATACTTTGAATATTAAACAATTTCGATCTGATATTTTATTAGACTGTAAATTTTCAACTCAAATAAATGTATTTTAGTTTAATTAATCTTATATAAATATTAGTAGAGTATATTAAAATGTTATATTTATTTTAAATGAATGTGTGTTAATTAATCGAAGGAAATGTATATTGTAATTTAAAGGCACAGAATATAAGTTAAACGTACCGTTCACTTCGAAATTCAACGTTAGACTGGCTGTTTGTCATCTATGAAAATCAGTTAAAATACTTTTATTGATTGTTGTTTATATGAATTTCAGAAGAATAAATTCTATTTATTATACGCATATTATTTTTGTTATACACGTGTAGCCATCAGAAAGTCATATAAACAACGTTTAATAAAAGGACTTTCAGAGAGTATAACGAGTCAGTTTATTGTGTGATTTCAAAGAGGAAAGTACGTCTAACTTATGCTTTGTGCATTTAGATTACAATATACATTTCCTTCGGTTAATTAATAATAATTTAAGGTCTATTTAATATTCTAATGTATTTCTCCACTAATACTTTCGATTGATTAAACTAAAACATATTTATTTTAGTTGAAATTTTCATTCTAATAAAATATTAGATTGATATTGTTTAATATTCGAAATATTATATATTAATAGATATGTAATTTTTAAACAAATGTATATTGTGTTATTTTTACTTTAATGGATATTAAACAGATTCTGATACTAGAGAACATTTAAATAACAATAAAAACAAAGAATGGCCAATCGTCAAACATGATACTCCCCCTGTTTTCGCAGTTATATTAACATATACAATTTTAAGGTACAGGTGTTTTCTGTACATTATTTTTGTCTGTGTTTAATTAATTTATTATAAATAAAGTATTCAAGTTTCGCTCATTAAATATGTAATTAAGGCATGTTTCTTATTTCTTAATTGTCTTCATTCTAAACACATTATAATGGAATCTCGGTTTGCAAAAATAATTCGTTCCAAAAATGTGCTCCTAATTCCAAGCACCCATGTATTAAAGCGAATTTCGTTGTAAAATTTCGTCATAATGGAAAATAGGACAATTATTTATTCATATAAAAATGATATTAAATACAAAATATTAATAGAAAATTAAACATGTTAATTTACACTCTTTACTTACTACGAATACACTTGTGGCAGACGACAAGCGTATTTATACTGCTCATATTTAAAAATATAAATTCTGTGCTCGTCCTGCGGAACACTCGAAAACCAAATTATTCGTAATCCAAGATTTGACTGTATAATAATAGTTTTCAAGCAAAAATCTGATAAACGTAATGGTGTATGATTTTAAGGGTCACTCCCTATACATCATTTATTTTAATTTATACACGTGATAAACATTTGCAATGCTCCCTGATACGTAACTAATGAAAGAATCAATAAATATTTAAGAATTCCTACAATAAAAGAAGAAATTGCAAACTTCAGTGAACGTTAAAAAAAATCGTTAAGCAAATCATCCGAATCCTCTAGCAAATAATTTGCTGGAAAACTCTAATTTAGTACGTACACTAAAAAGGTTCTACCATTGCAATTTAGGAATGAAATTTTCTTAAATAATAATATGGCTATACTGTAACAGATATATCCGTTTATACTTATCTCTTTGTAATATTATTTATAACAACTCATGTGCCAATGTATCATGTCAGCAAAAATTACTTATAATTCTCGGTTGAGAATTGATTATATGTCTCTCCATTAAAAACAAAAACAAAAAATACACGTAATTGAAATGCTTTACTTTTTTCTTTTAAATTGTTGCAGAATGTCTAACGAGAATGCAGCAGTGTGCGGTTGCAGTATAACCGTAGATGTGTCTAGAAGAAAAGTACCAGTCCCGTTGCCCATATGGAGGCACGGCAAATCAGATGGTCGAAGCTCGAAAAAACAAAACGATAGCCGTGGATCAAAACATAGAAATTCTGAAACTGGAAGCAGTAGTTCTGCAACCGATCACTCGAAACCGATGACGAAGAGTAATAAACAAGAAAGACGTTTAAATCAAACGAGAAGGACTCGAAGCGCTGAACGGGTAGAATCTTATTACACATACATTGGTAAGTATAGCATTTAATCATATTTTATATAAAACAACGTATCAAATATAATATTTAATTAAAATTACACAATCACGCGCTATCGTACTTTAAAACAATTAGTACGAATTAGATTATGATGAAATAATGTTTATTAAATAATGCTAACAAATAAAATAGTATTATACACGATAAGCATAACGTTTCAAGACAATGGTTCTCAAAGTGTGCATTATGGAATATTATATAATTTTCGTCATTTTAATTTCATTTGCGACTTCTTATTTGTGTGAAACTGGATTTTCAGCTGTTGCTGTGATAAAATCTATATATCGTGCGAAAATGAATGTGGAGAAAGTAAATTAGGGTGGCTGTATCTAGTTTAATTCCACAATTTGAGAAAATGTGCACCAATTAACAGGATCATTCATCTAATCAATTATTATAATTATTTGAATTTGTTCAATTACATATTTTTGAAATCTAAAATTTGTTTTTTTTTTATTTTTATTTAACCCTTGCGAGAAATAATTGGCTATTTTGCAAAGTGTACAAATTAAAATTTGGCTTAGGTTTTATTTCTGTTGATATGCTTGATCATGATTCTCGCGTTTATCCGCCCTTTTCATTCCCACACCGAAGAATCTACCACCTAATATAATGCTTGTGTTGCGTTTTTGGTTAGCGCATGAGCGACCGTCGAGGTCGAAGGGAGAGAGGGGTTTTTGCTATTTCAGAGGAATGTTTAGGTACATTTCTTTAATGTATTTAATTGTAAAATGTTTAAATTCCTCTTATTTCTTGTATCGTGAAGCATTTTGTTTAATTTGTCGTATGCTGATACAACCTCAATGCTTTGTAAATAAAACATTTACTAACATTTTATATTCCACAACGGTAGTCAGTATGAGCATCACGCTAAACAAATAAAATTTTATAAAGTCACTTTATCAAGAACTCTACTCACACAATTATTATTTATCTATAACCACTCAAATATACATTATTACACATTAATGAATTTCACAGAATACATACATCATATCACAAATAGTTAATACGAATATTAATTAATTCAAATCTAATCTTACACTATTCATATCAATTTAAACTCATAAACAGAATTTCTTTGAAATATCGTATTCTCATTTAAACATATGCATTTTCTTCTTATTTTGTTCTATTAACGTTTATCCTTTTTCACTTTTATTAGCATTACTTTTTTTTTACAGATTGGCTAACTTTAAACGTTTAAAGAGATACATGCATCTATGTAATTATTTCAAGAAATTTTTAAAATACAATTCTGAAATTTTTGTCATTAACAAAAAACTTACTGTTAATAATTGTAACCGATCGTAAGAATAGTTCTTTAATTTTCTTTTAATTATGTTGTTTTAAATCTTTCTTGTTTATTTACATATACATATTACTTTTACTGACCTGTTTCTTACAATCTTTCTTTAAAAAAAAAGATATTGTTTTACATAGATGTTTTACATTTATACTGCTTTTATTTTCAATTTTAAAAATCGTTGGCTGTATGGCACCATACAAAACACTTTTTATTGTTCTCATATTACGACTCGCCAATTCCATTGTTGCTTCGCTTCTTTTGTTCTTCAAAACTTCCACTGTGCTGCAACTCATCCCCTGCTGCTGAATTTTAAGACGATTCTCTCGTTTTTTAATTTCCGATTTCAAAATAGTGTATACAAATATTCACAACTAAAACATTCATTTCTTTTAATATCTTTTCTTTCGTCTTCTTCGAGCAAACGATTCAAAAGATTTTTTCTTTTCTTTCAATATCAAATTCAATAAATTTTTCATTTGTAGGTGACAGTTAAAAATCTATTTTTTATTGGTCTGCAAAACGTTTTATATAATTTCGTATTCCTTTTAAAATCGCTGTAAATTGACGTTGAAAATTACTTTTAAATAAATTATAAGTTTAATTGTAAATCATTAAATTTTTCCCTTCGAGACTATACTAATCTCTTATTATTTTATACACTGCAGAAAATTATAAATGTTTGTAATATTACCACGTGTTTCATATTATTTGCTATATTGGTTGCCATAAATATCGATTAAACTGTTACGAATGAAGAGACCAATCTTCATTCTGGTCAAATTGTAACAATACCCTGTTATGTTGAAACTTGAACGGTGTATTCGAACCACTTTCTTGTTATTGTTTTAATCGACTATTATTTATTTGTCACAAATATCTTCCTATGTACGTTTTAACAATCAATGTAATTCTCGTTGTCAATTGAAATTTATTTTACTGTATGAAAGTAATAAATATAATATATATATATATATATATATATATATATTATTCGAATCTCCGGAAAATAATTTCAAATGAAATGTGACAGATGATTTTTTCATATTTAGAATTCAAATCGTTTGAAATAATCGTAAACGGTCTAATTTGTTAAATTCAACTTCTCAGTTACTTTTCGCGTTGTTTTACGACAATTAGCATCCACCATTGATTTAGGTTTTGATGCATTGTGCGTAAGATATCGGTTTGTCAGAAAAATAAAATATGCAGTTATGTTTATTCTGGTTATGAATGCTTAAGAAGGTCTCTATAAATATAAAGCTTTCCATTTATATTTTTAAGTATCTTGTATTCATTTTTTTTTTTTAATAAAAATGAACTTCGAATAAAGGAAAGTATAGGCGAAAGTATTTTATTTATTCCGACTCAATAATGAAATCACTAAAGAAATCACAATTGTGCAATCGTATTATTATTAATCGTGTTCGATTAATAATCAAGTTAATTCGTAATTGTGCTATCTATCATTCTTAATGAATTCTATTATCATTAATTGTTTCGTGTCAGATAGGTTCACGAACGCGTGGTTTAATTTCAATTTGAGGAAAATTAATTCAAACTCTTTTTTTACTAATATTAATTACCGAATGGTGTGTGTGTAAAATCTCGTTGGTCGATCAAATGTTGGAAGTGGAAATTTAAATTATTAAAAACTTGAAATAAGTATGTGATATTGCACTTTCTGATAAAGAGTTCAAAATTCGTACAAGGATATAATCCCTAATAAATATTTTTGCAAAAAGTTTTAAATTTTACTTAAAATTCTGAATTTGTAATATTGAATTTATACTTTGAACGATGACTTTACAATTTGAACTAAGTTTCTATATTTTAATTAAAGTTTTTACACTGAAATCTAGAAACCGCATTACTCGTAGCAATACCTTACAGAATTTTAGAAACTATTTAATCCCATTTCTTAATGGAAGCAAAGATAAAATTAGGATTTTAAAAATACAAATTACTATTCAATCAGAAAAATTACTTTCTCGAAGTTTGGGAAGTATGAGGTGTAGATAGTTCGTAGGAAAAACATAGACTGAAATACAATATAAACAGTATATATAAGTGTCTTATATATACTGTTAATATAGCAGTAAATATAGCAGTAAATATAACAGTAAATATAAACAGAGAGAGAGAGAGAGAGAGAGAGAGAGAGAGAGAGAGAGAGAGAGAGAGAGAGAGAGAGAGATGTTTTTTCTGCATTTTTGGCCACCAGGTACTTTTTTGAAATAATTACATCCCAGCAGTCATTGTTTTGTTTGAGAAATATATATTTTCTGCATTTCTAGTTTCAATAAATGGTTGTGTCAGGATTGCATTTGGATTTGTTTTTTGTCATGTGCACTAAAAATTGTCACTTATTGAACATCCGCCGCGTCGTAAAATTTCATCTGCCGATATTTAATTATGCGAAATGACCCTAATATGGGATTGGGAAAAAAGTTCTTTCGTATATTAATGCAAAAGTGAAACCAATTATTTTCACATTTTGTATCCAGCCCTTTCCAAGGGGTTTCAAATTATTTTGTACTCTATATTTCGTTCCTTACAGATATCATAATTTTTAATGTATTGGTATGACGTAATTTTTTCCATGATTCATATCATTTCCAAGAACGAAATGTATTTTTGACATTAAAATTGAAAAACTTCGAATCGGCATGTGTCACACGTACTGTAATACTAAATCATTTTCATAAACATTACAAATTTTTTTATTGACCTGATATGCATTCTTCCTTTGTAATAAAATTTCCAAATGCATTAAGTATTTTTCTTTTATTATCACTGATTTTACAAGACACAATAAATTTTGACTGAATAAATAATTATCAAATATTTTTTTTTTATTAGTCTATGATATGTCATCTTTCAGATCCACGCAAATAGTATCAAATCCGATTAATATTATTAGAATTATGCAAACCTAAATCCATCTACCAAGAAAATATGAAAAAACGATTTTCTCAATTCTATATTTCTTTTCCTATTTTTAATGAAATGAATCGAATCACACATTCTTCATATTGCAAACAATCAAATCCACATACGATTAAAAATGTATAGCCCCTGTAAAAGTATTTTTTATAATATTAACTTATCCAAAGTTCTTTTTTTCTATAAAAATAATCGCCATTCATTTACATAGAAAACATTTACATAGAAAACAAAATTAATTTTTGTCCAAGCCAATATTTTCAAGTGGTTGTTTATTCTTCTGTATGTTTTTGTACTTTTTCGCTAGAATTTTCACTTTGTCATCATTTACTTTGACGTTATATTCGTCCTTGTTGTCGACAATTTTTACTACATTCCTCATAATTTGAATATCCAGAATATCTTGAAGTAAAATCAGTAGTTGAATTATTTTTAATTGATTACGAGAATTCAATTATTTCATTATCTTTTAATATTTGTAGTAAAATAAATCATCTTTTTTGACCATACGTATGTTTTTTTTTTTTTTTTATTTTTTTAAATTATTGTTCAAGATTTCTTTTATTTTTAGTGATTTTATTTCCTTAAAATAGTTTTTTTTTTGTATGCCAATGAAAAGATGTAAGTTTTTCTTATTATTATTTTTTTCCGATAATACATTTTTACGATTATTTCTGTATTTTCGTTAATTAACCCATGAATGAAACAAAAATTACTACAGCTTTTTTCGTATATGATTTACTTTGATTGGAAATGGATCCACTATCATAATTATAATAGAATGTAGATTTTTATTTACATTTATGTATCAAAATATACTAAATATATGCTAAATTAATGTAAAATATATGTACAATTTTTTCTGAGAGTTGATTCGTCGGAATTATTCTGATTAAGATATTTTACGTTTTTATTTCACTTATATGAAGTCATTTAAATACCTATCGGTATTTAATATATTGGTAGCAATCATTACTTCGTATTAACATAGAAATGTTATATATGAATATTATTCTTTTTTAAAGGACTATTATTTATCATTTTCCTATACAAATCTTTGGATGCGACTTCAGCATCTTTTTATGCATAGTGATACTTATATGCTGTTTTAATTGTAATTTTTAAACACATTGAATAGAAATCAAAAGAATAAAAAATTGAATACATATAAACTTACATTCATTATATAGAATACTAAATTTATCACATGATCACAAACTTTTCTATAGCAGAAGTTATACGTTATTATGAACAAACAAATTTGTAATTCATAATTCAGATATCCTATTTCTTTAATTAGTATGCATATCTTGCTTGATTACGGCATTGAAAAACAGGATTAGATAGTCATATTCAATGAAACATAAATAATATTTTTAGCTTACTTTAAATAAAATTACAACGCATATCATATCATGTGGCAATGTTATCATTAGAATAAAGATACAGTATTATATGTTGTTAATAAAAAAAAAGGAATCCATAGATCTATGTATGACTGTGTGTATATGTGTAAGTATGTATGCGAAAGAAAAAAATAGGAAAAATCTATTAATGCGGTGAATATTTATCAATTTTACATATTTGATTTTTAATAAAAAGGCCTGTCAAATGAGTATACATAAAAAATGTAGAAATATAAAAACAATATGCAAAAATTATTCTATATACAAGAAATATGCAATGTGTAATTTATGTAAAATTAAAAATACCCCCAGTGTGAGAAAATATGGTATACCTTTCAAAATTAATTGTGTTCGAATTTGTTATATATATTTACAAGCAATTGTAATTTTAGTTAAGTAGAGTAAGTAAAATAAGATAGTATATATTTACAAAATTTAAAACAAACAATTATTATAATCAAAATTTATCTTGTCTTCTGTACTTTCTCTTTGCAAGCTAATACTACTTTCACTATAATCCCCCATTTCTGAAAAACAATTGATTCTACTTTGTTTTATAATAAATACAATATTTTAATTATTAAAAATTGTTTACTTGATCGAAAACAAATATCTGACTACTATCATCCGTTATTCTCTCCGATAAATGTTAATTGCATCTAATCATATAAGATTACTTTATTATTAAATTGATTAGTTCATCCGTTAATCTTCAATGTTATTAAAAATGTATACTATATTTTCGTACGGAGGAAATATATCTTTTAGAATTGTCCAGTAAAAAAATGTATTTTTATTTTGATACTATTTATTTATAAAATTAAAAGTCATAAATTAAAAATCTTCTTAAATAATATTATAATTAATCGAAGAAAGTTATTTCCAATTTCGAATGATCTTGATCAATTTTATCATAATCGTTCATTGAATATTGTAAAATTGAAATTCATTAAACTTTAAGTTTCAAAATATACAAAATTAATTATAAACTTTCGACAGATAATATCTCCGGTAGATAAGATCCTTTCTTTGAAACATTAATTAAATGTCTCGAAGAGAAGGAAAGTCATTTTCTAATAATCTTTTAATAATTATTTTAATAATTTTTAGATAAAAAATAGTAAATAATTTATAAAAAATGTTTGAGAGAGAATAATAATAAATAAATATATATAATTATAATTGTGTGTATAAAATAAAATAGAATGAAATAAATCAATAAATGGAGAATTTTAATTTTACGATTAAAGCCAATTACTTGATTGATCATGGTACGTTTAATGTTAATTTCGATCGATTACTCTAATTAATTACCATTTTCTGCAGATTCAAATTCGAGCATACTAAATGGAGCGATTCGTGAAACCATACCCGAAGCTCTCTACGTGACTATACCCGAAACGCCGAACGTGACGGCAAATGATACCGGAAGTAGTCTAACGAATGCGCAAAACCGATCACTACCTGTCTACACTATTCCTTCGATGACTTCACCACCGCCTACATATGACGCTTCTATCGCTAAATCGGAGCAGGTAAACTTTTTCATTTATTTAACAAAAAATTAATGTAATGAAATATACATTTTTTAAAAGATTTTCTATTCATTTTATGTCTCGTAATTGACAAATTTAATCTTGCAATTTTTTAATATCTTAAACAATATTACTTTCGATTATATATTACTAACAATATTACTTAAAATTACATTGAAAAATATTGCTTACTAGATTATATTATTATTACATTAAAATAATATACTCTTATATCTATCAAATAGAATTTTTTCGTCACAAAATTATTGACTATGAGATAAATACGATTTGTATTTTATTACAAAATTATGAGGCCTTTATATTTGTAGACGGTAAATTATACCTGACCATCTCAAGGACGTTTCAAATTTAAACTATTCGTCACCGAATATTCCTTAAACTTTGGGATCTTGGATCCGTGCATCGTGTATCTAACGTTTATGTCACTAACGTATTTAGATATATTAGTTTTATTTGGTATCGGTGAGAAGCTTGTAATGTTTTTCAAAAGACGAGATTACACATAGATCATTATATAACTTTCTCTTAATGTTACGCTTTGACGTGTAAGATGCAATGCTCAATTAAATTTATATTTTAGTTGGAGTAAATTCCCATATTTGATTATGTAGTACATTGTAGGAGAATTCGCGTTATATGAGAAAGATAGTCGCAATATCTTCAGCGCGTTATAGGAATTTGTGCTGTAGGCATTTGCGTTATACCTTATAGTCTACTGTATATTCATTTATTATTATTAAAGCTGTACACATTGGAAAGATTAATGAAATATCTTGCTATAAAGGATGTCATGTAATTGGTAGTACAAGCGAGTAGGGATTGATTCGGTATGAAAAACTAAATAAAAAGAATATAGAATAAAATTTGTTCATATAAAATAAGTTTGAAAATTTCTCATGTAAACGTGCACTACAGACAGTTTAAGTTCGATAGATTTCATTATCTTACTCTTGAATATTTCGAAGAGTATTTTTGTGCTTCTTAATATGTTTACAAACATTGTCAGTATGATGATATCTCTTTTATCAAGTCTACTTTTATACTTATCGAAGAGAAGGCTTTTAGTTTTCAGAGTTGCAAACTCATGAGATCGACAGGATTTATAGTTTCCAATTTTAAAGAAATTTTATACAGTTGTAGAACTCGTTTATAAAATTACATTGCACCATACGAGAGAGGAGCAATACTCAACAATTTCCACGATATCAAAGAAAAAAGTTTTGCACAAACATTCTTATATACTAGATATTTTTCTCTTAATTTTAATTTTATTTCTGTATTTCTTAATTTCTTTATTGTACAGTATGTTTTATACATTTTGTTTACTACAATTTTTTTGTTCTTGAATTAAACTGGAAAATATTCTTTTTTTTTTATCTTTTTCGAGTATTCTATTATATAATATAATTATGTTATTTATTATGTGTTATTTATGAATATGTGTGTTGTTTAGTCTATAATTATCAATTATATTACTTGCGTAAACAATAGTTTTAATATTTTTCTCCATTATATTCCCCATAGAATTATGATAAAATATTCTATAAAAATGGAAAAAAGAATATTTTACAGTTTAATTCAAGAAAAAGAAATTTTAGAAAAAAAGAATAAAGTGGATAAAACGTACTGTACAATAAAGAAATTAAATAACAAAATTAAATTAAAATTAAGGAATAAATTTTTAGTATTTTAAAATGTTTATGTAAAATATTCTTCTTCGTTTGATATCATGAAAATTGTTGAATATTGCAGCCTCAATTGGTATATCAATTGTATTGAATAAAGCTTTATGTTGCAAAGACTGTATAGAATTGAAGAATTCTAGATTCAGATTATTTTAAAATTGTTTTGATTACTAGTCAACAGCTTGGTTACGTTACAAAAACTAGTTCTTGTGCCAACATTTCACCCGTGTGCTATTAACTTCAGCGAGACGATAAAATGACGATCTCGTTGAAAAAGTATTTTATGTGTGAGAAAGTAACGTAGAAAAAATAATTCAAACCAGTAAAAGGGAGAGGAATAAAGACGAAGGTTACTTGATTACTAAATGTTTCAACTCATTCGTTAATTTTCAATGTTTTTTAAAATGTATACAATATTTTTTAAAATGTATACAATATTTTTGAGTAAAGAGAATAAGTAGTTTTTTCTTACTTTTAATCATAGAATATTCTTGCGGGCTATAAACAAAACATGCAGTATAATCAGTACATATTATAATAGTTTGATTCAAACGAAGGCATTTTGAAAATTCACTGACCTAGTTATTGTAGATCAGTACTTGTTATAAATTCGAGAAGGCATTTTATGATTGTAGAAACAAAAGTGGGAAGATAGTGTGATTGTATGAGAGAAAGGGGGAAAGAAAAATGATGAATGAGATGAAAAGGTTAGAAGCAAATTCGGTGCAGGGTTTTTTCGGAACAGAGATTCTTTACAATTCGTTTGGTTATTCCATTTGGTCATGTGTAGTTTATCGGCGCCGACTGGAACATAAATCCTGTAAACATATCGTGTCAACTTCCTAAAAATATCTTCTGCACATCGCATTTTCATCGAAAAAGAACAAAAAGTATGTATGAAACAAGAGATCCCTGCCACTGTCACCCTTTGTTTTCGTTCTTATCGTTGACATTTTTGCGTTCTCTGGTTTTTAGACTGAAAAAAACACTTTCTCGATATTATTCTATCGTAATCAGTCACTTATATTAAATGATATTTCATATTTAGCACTAGAATTATGGTAAAGTGGTCAAAATGTTAGATTAAAATAAAGTGAATCTCCATTATTTTCTTATTTTTTGCTTCTCTAATATAAAAATCTATAATAATATGATTATTTGCAACAGTATTTTTTTTATTCTGGATCAACATTGAATACAGACTAAAGAAATATATGAATTTATTGATTTAATGTTTTTGAATAACATATTTTATCAATAATGTATTTTATTATTTTGATTGGTATAGCAGAAATAAAATGAATAACGAAAATATTCGGACCTCAGCGTTATTACAAAAGCAATGTTATCTATTTCGTGTAAATGTGCAGTAAAAAATACAATAGCGTTATGCTATTCGGTTGGCAACTAAGGGATTCTGCATTTTAAATAAGAAGGAAAATTCAAAATATTTGCTGAAAAATATAACTTTATTCAATTTGGTACTGTCAGTTTTTGTCGATGACCTTTTTTCATCGTTCTGGCCATGTCATAATTCCATGTCCATAAAATTTCTGATCTTTGTTATCAAGAAATTGAATTAAATGTGATTTGTTTATCGACAAAATCCGCAATCACTTTGTTGCCCACCCAATTGTAGTATATATAGTTTTTATTTAATAAATATATGAAAAACTTATTCAATTGATATACGTAATAAATAAATAATGAAAGAAAAATCAAAGTGTGATAACTAGTTCTGAGATTTATAAAATATTCGAGTCTCCATTATTTATTTCTCGTTTCAATATTTTTTATTTTTTGTTTATTACTCTTTTTTTTAGTATAATTACGTTTATTAATATGTATTTATTTTTAAATATTAAGTTGTTTATTCTAAAACAATAGTTAATGGGAATCATAAATAATTATTAAAAAATATTTATTTTTCCTTGTATTAAATTATTAATTAATTAATTATAAATCATTTTGACATTAATTTAGTAGTGTCAATGATTCCAATGTCAAATATTCCTAAACCAATTCAATAGAATATATTGCCAAATTTTGTTATTTTTATTTAATGTTTTGGAATCAATAATTCTTCAAACCGACCTTTCTCAAAAATCTTCTGAAATTCTCTTTTTGAAAGTTTTTCCTCTGCCAAAAACTGTGTTGAAAAACAAAGATATTTACATTTGTCCATATCTTTAATAATGGTAATTGAGACAGTAAAAGAAAATAAGTTTCCGAAGAATTTAGATGTCGTTTCGAGCAAATGAAGCGTGCATGGTTATCGCATTTCGTTTTCATTGCCAAACCGGAACAATATTGTAAGAACGAGTATCTATCTTATGCATTTTATTACATTGGAAACTGTACATAAAATTTAGTCCCCAAATTGAAAGTTTAAATAATTTAACTAATTAATTTTTAACGGTATTTATAGAAAAAATTATACATATAGAAATATTCAGAAAGTATCAAGTGAAATTACTGTATTTATTTATACTGAATAAATTAAATATACGTCAAATTTTAATAGCCGAAAATAGAAAAAATATTTAAAAAATTCAAACTTTAAAATTAGTGTTTATTTATTTTTTTCCTTTCTTTTATATTCGATTAAAAAATATAATTATCTAATATTTGTTAAAAGTTACCTCTGACCTTTACAGTTACAAGAGATGTTTAAAGTGGTTCCTAGTAGCTTCCAGATATTTATGTGTAAGGCGAACTACTGTTTGAACAATGTTGGCCAAAGTGTCCAGTGGGATTGCAACATATACATTTTCAATTTAATCTCTAAGGGATACCAGAGTGTAGACGGTTTTCTGCTATATGCGTCATCCCATAGAATCCCCCATAGGTAAAAGTCTAAAGGTGGTAAATCAGAAGAACGTGCGAGGAATTCAACTGCACTTCTTTATCCTAGTCAGTATCGTTGCAAATTTTCATTTAAATAAGCTCGTACCTGTTGGTGCAGTAATGCAGTAATAATAGATAATGTATGTTCTTATTTATTATTTTTTGGCACTGTTTTAGTTGTTATTTCTTGATGCTTTAGCCACGAGCAAAGTTTTTATACATTTTTTAGTAGAATTTGTATTTACGTATACAGGGTAATAAAAATATAGGTCAAATATTTTAAGAGCTTTAATGGCTTATAGTACTTTTTAGAATAAATAAAAAATGTCTTATCAACATGAATTTTATAATCAACTGTTTCGATGTGAATTAATTTTGATTATTTAAGAACGTTAGACTTAGTAAACAAATTATTTGGCGGCATATTGAATCTAAACAAAAGAATTT